TCAACCCTACCAAGACACAAGCCTGTGCGTTCAGTCGTTTTTCGCTAAGAAAACCCCTTTTGCTGTGGCTCCGCAATTCCAGAACACGTCCATTACCATCTCTAAGAGTATTGGGATTCTCGGTATCGACATCTCTAGCACAGTTGAGTTCCGTAGTCACCTCGAAGAAAAGGTTAAGCTGGCGTCCAAAAAACTCGGTGTGCTCAATAGAGCGAAGCGGTATTTCACTGCGGACCAGAGACTCCTCTTATATAAGTCTCAAGTTCGGCCGCACATGGAGTACTGCTCTCATCTTTGGGCAGGAGCACCTGGATACCAGCTCGGTCCTTTTGACTCGGTTCAGAGACGTGCTATGAGAATTGTCGATGATCCCAATCTCTCTGACGGTATCGAGCCACTTAGTTTGAGGCGAGACTTCGCTTCGCTTTGTGTGTTCTACCGATTATACAACGGACTGTGTTCTGAGGAATTGTTCGACATGATGCCTACGGCCACCTTTCACCATCGCACCGCTCGCCATCGACAGGGAATTCATTCCCACACGCTGGAACCTAAGTGGTCTCGGACAGTGCGGTTTCAGAGGAGCTTCCTCCCGCGTACACTTAGATTGTGGAATGAACTTCCTGCCGAGGTTTTCTCACGAGACTACAGCATGGGGTTTTTCAAGAAGGGTATATTAAGGTTTCTTAAGGGTCGGCAACGCGCACGTGACACCCCTGGTGCTTCAGGCGTCCATAGGCTACGGTAACCATTTACCATCAGATGGGCCGTATGCTTGTTTGCCACCATAGTAGTATAAAAAAAAAAAACAAGTTTCTTGCTTATTCTTCTTGTGATGAGACAGCTTTCCGAATAAGCGGTAGATTTAAAAAAATGTTGACTATTCAAAAGTGCTTAAATTAAGTTTATTTGAATAAATGATTTTCTATTCTATTCTATTCTTATAATGATGGCTAATAATAGTTCAGTTACTTATCAACAATAAATATTTCATCCACTTATTTCAACTATTTATTACTTATTTCAAATATTTCATTACTCACACTAAATGTCTTGCTGTGTGGTGTTCTTTGTTTGGGATAGTAAATTACGATTACTATTTTGAATATATAGATATTGCATGGTTAATATTTAGTACATGTCTACATTACATTACACGGAAGATGTAGTGAGAGGAAAGATCCTTGAGTCTTATATATTTTGCTGAAGGCTTTATTAGAAGGAGGCAAATGTTTGTATCGATGAATTTTGTATTGAAGTAACATTTTCCAATAATTTATGATGATCAAATGTGAACCGTAAATCTCTCTATGGAGACTAGCAAGTAAGTGAAGTTTATAATAAATAGTTTGTGGAAGTTTTCATCAGGAGGAGAGAGAGGCTCAGATCGATGAATCTCTGATGAAGTCACATTTTCCATCATTGAGGATGGTTGAGTCAAAGCTCGTAATTAAGGTTTTAGACCACGGTCCCTGTGGAGATTTCTACAAACAGTAGGGACTTAACTTAGTTGATAACACTGTGGTTATCTAGGTCACACACCCTAAGTTTTCCCGTATGCATGTTGTATGGCTGGTGTATCAATATAGAGATATGTTGCTACTCTGGTATAATATGCAGCATTGTGTGGGTAAAGTTTAGGACGCATTGTATTTATTATATTACAACTTATTATACACTGCACAAAGTAAATAGGTAATTAATAGACGAATTAACCCATATTGAATATTGTTTATATGAACCAGCTGAAGCAGTAGCAATTCGGTTCAGTATAACTTTTGTGAATATTGTAGAAATTGGGGGGTTATTAGTTGGGAATGGGAGGTTACCAGAAGTAGTGAAGGTGAGTGTTAATGCATTCTAAAAGGTACCTTTAAACCTAATCCCGTGTCACAAGTCTCGGGCGCTATTTGGGGTGCCCTCCTGAACCATCTGTGACCGGCATCAGGACCTTTATCGTCATCATAATCAAGAGTTAAAATATAACTTCTTGAAATTGTGATTGTTAAGCTAGGTTCTAGCTTAACCTAACTTTTATAAATAGCTGCACTGTCAGATTATATTATAGATTTATGACATTGAAATTATACGAATTAATATAATTGTTAATTTGTTTTTTGATAAGGAAGAGTGTTTTTAAATGAAACTGTGACCTCTTCTCATGAAGCGTTTATTGCAACAACTGGAGGGAGTATCCACCTAGGGGTGGAGTATCCACCCTTTTTATTGGTGCTCATATGTGTCGCGTGATGAGCGATGCTTCTCACTGGTCGATTGTGTGATATCGTCATCGACGCAACGTTTGACGTCGACCAGTGGTGGTTGAGGATGGCGACTGTGGGTTTGAGCATTATACTGCTCACAGCAGATTTGCTACTACTGTTTTAACATGCCCCCGGCCTTGGAAGGTTCCACTTTCAATTCTTCTTCTTCGTTCCAAAGAGGGCATATTTTAGAGAATGCCCGCCTAACGATGCCGGTCTCCGTCCTTATGTCGGAGAGTGGAAATGATGCGTCCTAAACGCCACTTTAATGGAGGTAAGTGGTCGTCCTTGATGAGCACTAAGGTGTTTGGCTTCAGGTGTGCTTGGCGAATTTTCCATTTGTTCCTTATTTGCATCTCAGATATATATTCTTTGGACCACCTTGTCCAAAAATGTTGGCGTATTTGTTCTACCCGTTGATATCGTGTCAAGTTTGATGGCGTGAAGTCTTGAACATCAGAGCACGGCGGCGCAGTCAGCGGACGACCGACCAAGAAATGAGCTGGGCTTAAGGGATAATAGTCATGAGGATCTGTGGACATAGGACTAAGTGGACGGGAGTTCAGAACAGCTTCGACCTGTGTTAATACCGTATTGAACTCTTCATATGTTAAATGCAAGTTACCGACTACGCGTCGCAAAACATTCTTGCATGAGCGTACACCACTTTCCCACAGACCACCCCAATGAGGAGAATAAGGAGGTATGAAATGGAATTTAATAATAGCGTAATTAATAATATATTGTGAACAATTGGAGAGAAAATTTTGAAATTCATTCATGAGTCCTACAAAGTTTCTACCGTTGTCTGAAAACATGTCAGACGGTTTACCACGGCGAGAAATAAACCGTTTGAGAGCTAATAAATACGTATCTGTTGACAAATCACCTACCAATTCTAAATTAACTGCGCGAGTAGTAAAACAAATGAAAATTGCAATATATGCCTTTATAACGGCCCTTGTGATTTAAAATATAAACGGGACCCATATAATCGACTCCAGAACACATGAATGGAAATGCAGGGGTTACCCGTTGTATAGGAAGATTACCCATAAGAGGTGTTAGCGGTTTAGCACGAAAGCGAGCGCATCTAGCACAATTATGTACGGTTTGTCTGGCAATATTTCTCCCACCAATCGGCCACCATACTTCTCTTATCGCATACAAGAGAGCCTGTGGCGCTGCATGCAGTAGACGTTTGTGTTCCGCACAAATCAGTAGTATGGTAAATTGATGTTTGCCTGATAATAATATGGGATGTTTTTTGTCGTAAGTAAATGAAGTAGAATTACTAAGCCGACCACCTACTCTAATTAAATTATTTTTATCTAGAAATAAATTTAAATTGGATAAATTGTGCGTGGTACGTGATGATGCGGCTCGAATGCTCAGATGGTAGATGATGATGGCTTCAGCAGATTACAGGGTTGTAGAAATGATAGACTTCGCTTGATAGTCTCGAATTTAATGGCAAATATACTATTTATTACAAATTTGGTGGAGTGAACAAAAGTACGTTAGATCGGTCGGTTGATATTTTAAGTCTGTTACATTACGTTGCGTATTTGAATTGGATGGGTGTGCGCTCCAATCAGAACGCTCCTTTTGTGTTGCGTTTTGTTGCTGCTTGTACGCGACATGCCCCCGGCCTTGGAAGCTCTTGAGTGGTTCCAATGTGAACTGCGGTTGAGTCTTCGCTTGTTTGCTGTTCCGACATTTGTTTGCGTCCCCATCTCAACGAAAGTTGATGACAAATCTGCTCAACTCCTTGATCATGATAGAGTAATTCCCTGTATCAGTCCTCATGTCCTGACATACTAGTGCTGTAAGCGGACGACCAACCAGGAAGTGTGCAGGACTTAAGGGTTGAAGGTTATTAGGATAGGGTATCATTGTGTAAGTGGCAGATGAATTAGGACTACTTAGCCATATAGTCACATATTGTGCGTATTCCACCATCCAAAAGCTCACCAAATGAGGAGAACACAGGGGGAATAAAACTTGATTTAATTGCTTAATTGATATGTCTTTCAATAACTAGATGAAAGTTTGAATTTCCGTGTATGGCATCTACGAATTTTAATTTTGTTATGTTGAATGATTTGGCCGGTTTACTACGACGTGAAATAAATCGTTTCAGAGTGATAAGGCATGCTTCAGTGGATAGATCCCTTAAAAGTTTCAAATGTACTGTGCATGTTATGAAACATACACGAAAACATTTGTTTTTATATTTATATGACTTAACGGATTTAGCGCCCATTCCCTTACGATTCAATGTAAACACCGGTTCCATATAATCAACACCATAGGTCATATACGAATAAGTAGCATTCAACTGTTCCCTAAGCCTAAGATTACCCATGAGAGGTTGCAAGGTTTTACCGAGTATACGCTTGCATAGAATACACTCATGTGGAATCTTTCTTGCAAGGTTCCTACTTGCAATAGGACACCACTGCCACCGTATGTTATATTGAAACGCCTGTGGTGCTGTATAAGGTATACATTTACGTTTGTGGCTCATCAATAGTAGCCTATTAATTTTAAAATTTCGTTCGTAGTGTATAAATTGACGTATACATATAAATGTATTCTTCATACGGTATAATTGAGAAAATGTAGGACAGAAAAATAATTTGACCCTTTGTCCCGAAAATAAGCCGTGAAATGTACATTTAAATTTGAGTAGATATTTATTAATAAAATTGCAGTATAGAAATTTGTAATGTTTTAATCATGTTTTTGTAATCGCTTATTTAACGTTGAAAATCGGTTTAGGGTTTGAGGATATGATTCGCCTAATTCATGTGGTGATGACTTGAGAGGAATGCGAACGCAAAACCTTCCATCATTATTGCGCATCGTAGTTGTAATGAAAGGATTTTCGCACTCTCGCTGGTCATCAGTTTGCGTCTCACATGATTTAGTAACTTTCTCAAGCTCCCTAAATTGTTGTGATTGAGTATCGGTAACGTGTGTAAAATTACACTGGATTTGACCGGTATTCTGCGTGTTTACACCTACAGAACCCGATATAATCCAGCCTAGTCGTGTATTTTGCAAAAACGGACCGTTAGGTAATCGCATTCTGCCATTACTTAATAAATCCCAGAATTTATCTGCGCCTATTAAAATATCTATATTCTGGGGTTCATAAAAGTGCGGATCTGCTAGTTGCATGCTGTCAGGGATACGAAACTGCGCGTATTGTTTCGGTATCGCTGGCAGCGTAGATGTTAAATGCGGCAATACAATACATCGTATGCACGCAGTGTATGAGCTAATACGGGATTTCAATTCAATATCACACATCTTTGTGGACTGTGTTATTGAATTACCAACCCCATGAATTTCTTGAGTGGACTGTATAAATGGTAAATTTAGTAAATCGCATAATGATTGCGTCATAATACATCGCTCGCTACCCGAATCTAAAAGCGCGCGAACAGAGTGAATATTATTGTATTTGTCATAAATATCGACTAACGCTGTCGATAAAAGAACCGGCTGCGTACAGGGATACTGAGCGCATAATGTATTAGTGTGCGTAGATGAGCGTGAGCATTTGTTAATGTTAAGATCCGGGCCTATGACGGCGGCTGCGGGGCGCCCCCCTGCCTCGGTGAATGAGAGTGCATAGATAATGCAGCTGTGTTCCGTTCGCTTACCGGTGACAAGTTGCAAACTTCACTATCTTTATGAATCAATGAGTTATGTTTTTTGTTACACTTTCTACATCCACCGAACCTGCACTCATTCGGGCGATGCCCCGGTCGCAAACAGTTGTCGCATAATTTATTTTCACTGACGAACTTTAGCCTAGTATCTAGATCAGTGCTTATAAATGTTTGACACGCATATAATGGATGATAACCGTTGTCACAGAATAAACAAGATCTCTTCGTGTGGATTTGTGGCTTATTGGTAGAAACATTACAATGTACGTTGTGTTTTGTCGTGTTTGAAATTTGTTTGTTATTTGAATCGTGTTTATAATTGTTGTGCGACGCAAGTAATGTTTCTAACATGTCAGCCCGATCTTTTAGGAATGCTAATAACGTATCTACCGTCAATCGTGATTCGGAGTTACCAGATAATTTTAAAACTGTGATTTTATGTTGTTCCCATTCGCGTTCGGATGTTTTGTCTAATTTAGATACAATTATGTACATAATAAGTGTATCCCAGCTATCGACTGGTTCACCTAACAGTTTTAATGCACGTAGATTTTTTAAAATAGTGTCGATTAAATATCGCAATTGATCTGGCGACTCCGTAGTCACGGGTTGTAGAGTAAATAATGCCTTTACGTGGTTATGTATTAATAATCTACTATTATTGAACCGATTTAAGAGTAGTTCCCATGCCACCGAATAATTATTAGCCGAAAATTCTAACGAATCGATAACCATAGCTGCAGTACCCTTTAACGATGATTTTAGATAGTGAAACTTTTGAATGCTACTTATATTCGTATTATTATGTACCAATGATAAGAAGATGTCCCTATATTGTAGCCACTGATCGCTGAGGCCTGTGAAGGTAGGTACCGAAATTACTGGAAGTTTTAAGGAATCGTTAGAATTGGGGCATGATTTGGAATATGACGCGTCATCTTCTCCACTGAGCATACATTCAGCTTGAGACAGTGTGTTGAAGTACCTGTCTTCAAACTGACCTCTCTGCTCAATTTGTTCATCTAAATCGGCTTCTAAAACTAATTCTTCTAATTTAGACTGAAGGTCGTTAAACTCAGAGAACAGATTTGCAGCATTTTGAATTCTTAACTGCAAATCTGCCTTTGTCTGACGAGAAAGAATTGTATTGACTTCAAAAGTATTGATAAAATTTTGAAATCTAGTAAACCGGCCTTTGATAATTGATCGCTTTTTGACTAAATCACGAATTAATTGATTCGTGTTATCATCGCCTGTAATTGTTATTTTACATGGCGACTTAGAATGAGGCTTTGATGTTGATTGAGATTGTTCACTCATATTGGTAGACAGTGAAAGGTGGAGTACTCACGTATAGGAACAGTAGAAGCAGTTGCTAGCTGACGGCAAGCTGCTCTGTTGTGCACTGGTAACTCTCTGCGTCTCAAACACTGTAATAGATATTTACCACAATACAGAACACAAGTACAGGATAGGGGTAGGATAGGATATCTGGTGGTCGTACCGATTTGCGCTGTATTATCGGAGTTGATCTGCCAGGTATCTCGTCTGTCCAAGTCTCCCACTATGCTTTGCTGCTGCCCAAGGTTCTGGCTTGATATTGTAGACGTTGTTAGGTGTGGAGCAATCTGATGAAGTCCTCAGTAGATCGCTCGTTCTTGCTTGATCGTTCGGCTCGAAGGTCCAAATGGTACGTGATGATCCGGCTCGAAGGACCAAATGGTACGTGATGATGCGGCTCGAATGCTCAGATGGTAGATGATGATGGCTTCAGCAGATTACAGGGTTGTAGAAATGATAGATTTCGCTTGATAGTCTCGAATTTAATGGCAAATATACTATTTATTACAAATTTGGTGGAGTGAACAAAAGTACGTTAGATCGGTTGATATTTTAAGTCTGTTACATTACGTTGCGTATTTGAATTGGATGGGTGTGCGCTCCAATCAGAACGCTCCTTTTGTGTTGCGTTTTGTTTCTGCTTGTACGCGACAGTGCGAATTATTTAATTGATTATTTTTTATTAATGTAGTGTAAATGTCAAAGTAGGATTCCAATTGAATGAAATGTATTAACCTTTGTTGTGATTCACTCAACTCATCGACACTCAGTACACCTGTCCGTTTATTATTTTTAATTTGTGTGTTATATATGAAGCGTAAAATATACGCACAGGCGCGTATCATACGATTGAGTTGTGAGAATCTATGAAAAGGAAACCAACTCAAAACTTGTGTTATGTGATAAGTATGAACTGAATTTGATTTAACCTGGGGTAAATCAGGCAACAGACGACTTGAACTGTCCTCATTCTCACTACAACAAATGGTTGATGAGTTATACTTTGAATCAATTAAAATAGGCGGTCCCTCCCACCATAAATTATTAGTGTGTAGTGTATCTAAGTAGGCACCGCGGGAAACTATGTCCGCTGGATTTTGGCTACCACATATATGCCGCCATGAATGATCGCGCGTTAACTCCTTTGAAGCGTATGAGTTATGTGATGAAGTTGATAACGAGTTCTCTTTGTGATTGAATATCCACTTGCGTAATGGAAAGCAATCTTTCATCAAAATCCGACTAATCTTGTTATATTTTTCTATTTTACTAACGTTTGTGTTTGTAGTTGTAGACGCTAATTCCTTCAAACACCTAAAGCTAAGAAATGGGGCTGATGCTGTACCGTATGTCACAGTGTTGAGTTGGTATATACCTATCTTATCAGTAGGGTTTTCGCGCCACAATATTAATCCTTACTGTAAGCGACGCGTTCTGTGCCTTAAAAAACAAAATAATTAAAATGATGTTTGTCTATGTTATTGTCTCTGCGTGCGGTGTCGTAGTCGTTTTCAAAAAAACTTATAACCGGCGCAACGGACGCCACGCAGTCTGCACCTAGATGCGATCGACACCGCACGTCATATATCTAATTAACATTATAAAATTTATGTGTCGAAAATAAATCCAATTGTCTTAAAAGTCTTCGTTTTTGCCATCATCGTGACCTACCATATTTTATACCATACATTTGGTCATTCGGCCGGATTTATGTACCGCACACCACCAGCGCACAAAATGGTAGGCACCCGAAGTACTGCACGCAATAAGGACTGCATGCAGACGGAGCAGCATCCTGGTTCTGAACAGTATCAAGATACGCCACGGCCGAGTAATATGAAGCCTACAGAAGAGAAGACGGCGACCGTTATGAGCACAAATTCAAAAGCGGGTACTTGTAAAGAAGAATGCCAACCGTCGACGCCCGTTACAACGAAGCGTGCAAAGTCCACGAAGTCTTCGTATTCATCTGTACTGGCACGTAAAAAGCAGTTAGAACTCGATGCTGCACAGAAGAAAGCTAAAATTCAAATGGAATTAATTGATAAACAATTGGAAGCAGACCTAGCTGATTTAGAAGCAGAATACAGTCCAGACCTAGGGGATAATCGCACCAACATTAATAGTAATGTGGAGAGGTGGGTCGAGCACAGCCAGCAAGAATTGGAAAACACACAGTTTGCCCACGATCAGGGTTTTCAACAGGGTGACACGTGTCCGCCAGCAATAGATTCTGGCACTAATGGTACTACAGTTCAGATGCTAGCAAGCGCTCTAAAGAACATGGCCGCCGCCTCTGCGAATAGCAACTCGAATGCTAAACTATTGTCTCGATTGAGCACGCCGAAGGATTTGCCATACTACTCAGGGGACCCCATGGAATGGCTGCAATTTAAACAGGCCTATGAAGAATCGACTGAAGTCTGCAACTTCAATCCGAAGGAAAATTTATGGCGTTTACGGAAATGTCTACGTGGAGCCGCAAAGGAAGCGGTATCAGCTTTACTCATCAGCGCCGTAACTCCTGATAAATTAATGGCGACACTGGAACTAAGGTTCGGTAATCCAGATATAATTATATCACGCTTGATACAAGAATTAAAAAAGTTACATCCAGTGTCACAAGAATATCAAAAGGACATAGTGTACTTTGCTGTGAAAGTGCAGAATTTCGTGGAAGCAACACGAGCCGTCGGCCGCCAGGAATATTTACAAGGTATAGATGCATTTACATTATTATTATCTAAGATGCCAACTGTTCTTGTATCTAAGTGGTCAGATTATAGTTACACACTGTTACTAGAAAGAAAGAAATCTAGATTAGAATTATTATCCGAATTTCTAACTCAAGAAGCAGTAAAGATTTCCACAACATCTAACTTATGCTTAATAAATGCACGCAGCGATAAATATAAAAATTATGATAATAATATAAGTAGCAGATCACATTCTGTTTTAGTACTGAATGATAAGTGTCAATACTGTCGTGTTTCAAGAAACGATTTAACAAAATGTACGCAGTTTAAAAAAGCGCTAAGAAAAGATAGATGGCGATACATTAAGCGTAACAATCTTTGTTACAAGTGTTTATTGTCAAGTCATCAGCGCGAAACATGTCCGGCGCCCGCCTGCGATAAAGATGGCTGCGGCGGAGCGCACCACCGGCTTCTGCACTACCCCGTACCCACCGGGTGCAGGACTAGCAACGTCACCGCCGAACAAGTGAACGAATGTCCACCCGTGAGTGAAACTGTGACCCATATTAACGTAAATAATCAACAAGTGTTATTAAAAGTAGTGCCGGTAAAAATTCGTGGACCATACGGTGTTATTAATACCACCGCCTTACTTGATGACGGTTCAACTGTGTCGCTCATAACTACCGATCTCGCTAACCGCGCGGGACTGAGCGGCCCCAGCGACACATTACGTACGTGTGGTGCATGGAATAATTCTGTAAATTTATGTAACACTACTGTTGTAACCTTTGATATTTTCTCTGTAAATTCATATGATAATAATGATGTGTATACTGTAAAAGCTCGTACCATAAATAATTTAGATTTGCCTATACAAGATTTATCTACTGTTAATTACAACTTGTATAAAAATTTGCGTAAAATTAAAAATGAATTGTGTGTAAAAAAATTGAAACCTGAAATACTGTTAGGGCAGGATAATTATCATTTGTTAATTCCTTTGCAAACTAGTTTAGGTAATAAGAATGAACCCGTCGCTACACGCACTCCCTTAGGTTGGTGTATACATGGTTGTTTAGGTATACCGGAACATAAACAATCGTCCCACTCGACCCTCCTTATCTCTGAGTTACACAGCTTACCAGTCGACGAGAGCGAGCGCATGTTACGAGACATCCATGACGAGGTGCGACGGTCATTCACCATCGAGTCCATGGGAGTGTCAGGTAAGCCACGGGAGAATGCTGATGATATCCGTGCCCTGACAGTGATGGAGCAAACTGCTACACTCATCAACGGCAGGTGGGAGGTTGGGCTACCATGGAAAGATGAAAGCTGCAGGATGCCAAATAGCTTCCCTAACGCTGTACGCAGATTAAAAGGTATAGAAAAGAAAATTATGTTAAATACGGAATATGGTAACAGGTATGTCGAATGTGTTAATCATTTATTACAAAATGATTATGCCAGAGAGTTGGAAGACTGCAGTGTCTCGCCACGGACATGGTACTTACCACATTTTGGGGTAGACAACCCAAATAAAAAAAAACTACGTCTGGTCTTCGATGCCGCAGCTGGCACAAATGGTTTGTCATTAAATGACTATCTACTGAAGGGGCCGGACCTACTTACATCTCTGTTCGGCATTATGGTAAGATTTAGGGAGAACAGAGTAGCGGTGACCGGCGATATAAAAGATATGTTTTTAAGGATAAAGGTAAGAGAAGAAGACCAGGACGCACTCAGATTTCTGTGGAGAAGCAGTCCTGCAGAACATGAAAAACCGTACGTGATGACGTCATTAATATTTGGCGCGAAATGTTCACCGTTCATAGCTCAATTTATTAAGAATAAAAACGCACTAAGGTATGAGTCATCGATGCCAAACGCCGTAGCAGCGATATGTAATCAACATTATATGGATGACTACATAGACAGTTTGCCAGACGAGGCCGCCGCCATAACAATGGTACGTAATATTAGTAAAATTCACAAATCAGGTGGTTTTCATATTTGTAATTGGACTAGCAACAGTCCAGCCGTATTGGATAGTATTCCAAAGGAGTCCTTGGGTACTACGGCCGTAAAGTTCAAAATAGATCAAGAATGCGAAGGTGAACGTACGCTCGGATTGATATGGTACCCGCGCGAAGACGAGTTGGGGTTCGATGTGTCTCTCAAGCGCATACCACATGACATAATTAATGGTAAGAATAGACCAACAAAAAGAGTTATGCTCAGAGTCATAATGTCAATATTCGATGTATTTGGATTCTTATCGCCATTTACTATACAAGCTAAAATAATGTTGCAAGATACCTGGCGCGCTGGAATCAGCTGGGACGACTTAGTAACAGATGACATACATAAAAAATGGTGTCAGTGGGTCAATGTACTAACGAGTGAAATAAAAAATATCCGTCTGCCGAGGTGGTATCAAGCAGCGACGAGTGGGAGTGAGTCAGCGATAAAACGTAGCACTTCAGTTCAGGTAAACATAACCTCTCTCACCTCTCGTACATCTACAAGCGTAACCGAACGGGCTATCGGCTACGAAACTGGCATAGCTAATAGCTGCGCTACGACATCCCGCTGCAATGACGTAGTGACAGGCGCTACGAAACAGGTTTTGGCTGGAAGTGAATATAGTAATTTAGAGTTACACTTGTGTTGCGATGCGTCGACTAAAGCAATGTGCGCAGTCGCATACTGGCGATGGTACGTAAATAAAGATATATGTATGTCATTCATAGCTAGCAAGTGCCGTGTCGCGCCCGTGAGTCATACTACCGTGCCGCGTTTGGAATTGCAAGCTGCTTTATTGGCTGCGAGGTTGGCAGATACAATAATCAGAGAACACAAAATAAATCCAGTAAGGCGTTATTTTTGGTGCGACTCTAGTACCGTGCTACACTGGATATGTAATAATACACGTAGCTATAAAACGTACATAGCAAACCGGCTGGGTGAAATAGACGAGCTAAGCCGCCCTGAGGAGTGGGGGTATGTACCTACAAAATTAAATGTTGCTGATCTCGCTACGAGAGAAAATTACGACAATTCTCTTTTTAAAAATGAATGGTTTAGAGGTCCGTCATTCTTATACAGCGATGAGTCATCGTGGCCGGTGAATATAATCGATAAGATAAATGAAATGAGTTTAGAACGAGTAATGATAATACAACATGAAGATTGTAACTTACCTGTACCTGACCCAGGAAGAATTTCATGCTGGTTACGACTGGTGAGGGCTACGGCATGTATTCTAAAATCCCATCAAAAACATAAATGTGAAATGATAGCCGAGTTTAATATTATGATATATGCCTTGATTGTTGACTTCTACGACAAAAGAGATGAGATCTAAATGGGTGCCAAGTTCAATGGTCTGTCCTGAAATGTATTTATAACAATATAAAATATCATTTCTTCTTATAACTTAGGATAATATACTGTAGCCTAAGGTCTAACTTGGCCAGTTCTCATATACCAATTATTACTTTCGATTGCTAGTTACTATTAATATTAAAATAGGAACCGACAAGTAACATGTTTAGAACTTGCGAAGGCTACAGTAAATTTTGTATATGAAAACCAGCCAAGTTAGCTCCGCACTCCGGTCGCCAGGAGAGGAATGTCCCACAACTCCCCAGATGGGTGTTGAAACGTCTGAATAAAGACGTGCTGATGGAGGCTTCCATCGTCCAGGCCTGGGTTCCCATACCGGAGGGGCCTGTGGAGGTCGACGCAGAGGTGGGCTGGTTCGGTGAGGCTCTGTCGCACATTTGCGACGCGGCGATGCCCCGAGCCGGCCCTCGACCTCCTAGGCGTCAGGTGTACTGGTGGTCGGAGGAGATAGCGGCGTTGAGGGAGGAGTGCTCCGCCGCCCGCCGCCGGTACACCAGGCACCGCCGACTCAGGCGGGGCCGCGACGCCGACGAGGAAGCACAGCTGTACGAGCAGTACAAAGAGAGGAAGAAAGCTCTGCAGCTGTCCATCAGCAGGGCCAAGGAGACAGCCAGGGAAGAACTCCTGGAGACCCTGGACAGGGATCCATGGGGGCGTCCTTATAGGTTCGTCAGGGGCAAATTACGCCCCTGGGCGCCCCCCGTGGCAGAGGGTCTCCAGCCGCAGCAGTTGGAGGAGGTGTTGGAGGAGCTGTTCCCGAGACAGCCTCCCTTCACACCTCCTCCGATGATGCCGCGTGGCAGTGATGGAGAGACCAGCGGCGTCAGCGCTGCTGCGGTTCCTGCCATCACCGTGGAGGAGTTCGCCGCGGCCGTGGATAAACTCCGGGGCAAGAATGTCGCCCCGGGTCCGGATGGTATCCACGGCCGCGTCCTGGCCTTGGCCCTAAACACCCTAGGGGACCGACTCCGGCGCTTGTTCAATGCGTGTCTGGAGTCGGGACGGTTTCCCAATCAGTGGAAAGCGGGTAGAGTGGTCCTGCTCCGCAAAGCGGAGCACCCTGCAGGTTCGGTGGTTCCCTCGGCGTTCCGCCCCATAGTGCTGTTGGACGAGATCGGCAAGCTCTTCGAGAGAATCTTGGCGGGCCGACTCGTCCAACACCTGTCTCAGGTAGGTCCCGATCTCAGCCCGAAGCAGTTCGGGTTCCGAGAGGGGCGCTCGACGATCGACGCGATCTCGCGTGTGCGCTCCCTCTCGGAAGAGGCGACGTCCCGGGGTGGGGTGTTGTTGGCGGTCTCTCTAGACATTAAGAACGCCTTCAACACCCTGCCCTTTGCGATTATTAGGGAGGCGCTGAAGTACCATCGCGCGCCTCCCTATATTCGGGACGTGATCGGGGCCTATCTCGAAGACAGGTCTGTGCTATGCACGGGGCGGAACGGCGTTGTAGTGCCGAGGGAAATGCAACGCGGTGTTCCACAGGGGTCGGTTCTGGGCCCGATCCTGTGGAACATCGGGTATGATTGGAACCTGCGGGGCGCCCTTTTAACGGGCACTGACCTCGTGTGTTACGCGGATGACACCTTGGTCACTGCCCGGGGGCGGGACCTACGGGAGGCTACCCGCTTTGCCACTGCAAGCGTGGCGCTGGTCGTCGGCCGAATTAGAAGGCTTGGGCTCCAGGTGGCGCTGGAGAAGACCGAGGTCCTGTGTTTTCATGGGCCTCGGCGTGCGCCACCTCCGGATGCCCAGCTGGTCGTCAGTGGCCAGAGGGTGGGGGTCAAGCCCTGTATTCGATACTTGGGGCTTGACCTGGACAGTCGTTGGAGCTTCCGCGCTCACTTCCGGAACCTGGTCCCTCGCCTCATGGCAGCCGCCGGCGCTCTTAGCTGGCTGCTGCCAAATGTGAGGGGCCCGGTAGAAGGTTCCCGCCGCCTATACCTCGGCGTGGTGCGGTCCATGGCCCTGTACGGGGCCCCCATCTGGGTGGGGGCCCTAGGTAGGAAAATGTGGCCTGCCTCAACAGGCCACACAGGGTCATGGCCATACGGGCCATAAGAGGCTACCGCACCATATCCGGGGAAGCGGCGGGTCTGCTGGCGGGGTCTCCTCCGTGGGACTTGGTAGCGGAGCTCCACGCGTCAGTGTATCACTGGCGCGCGGAGCGACGTTCCATGGGGGAGGCACCCGCTGGCCATGAGATTGGAGCGCGGAGGTCCGACTTTCGGCGGATCCTCAGGATCAGGTGGAGAGAAAGGCTGGCCAGTCCATCGGCCGGCCTGAGGACCGTCGAGGCTGTCCGTCCCATCCTCAAAAGATGGATGAATAGGAGATGGCCACTGACGTACCGCATGACACAGATACTGTCCGGGCACGGGTGCTTCGGGCGGTATCTGTGTCATGTGGCGAGGAAGGAGCCGACGACCGGCTGCCACGAGTGCGGAGGTGTGGAGGACACGGCGCAACACACGCTGGACGAATGTCCAGCGTTCGAGAGTGAGCGCCGTGTCCTCACACGAATAGTGGGGGACGATCTCTCGCTGCCGAATTTAGTTCGGAGGATGATCAGTAGCGAGAGATCGTGGCTGGCGGTGAGCTCCTTCTGCGAGGAAGTTATCTCGCGGAAGGAGGCGGCGGAAAGGGAGCGGGAGTCAGATCGTCCCGCTTCCCTCCGCCGCAGAAGAGCCAGGCCTAGAGGTGGGGGCGTACCCAACTCCGCCCCCCACTATCCCCCACTGGGGCCGGGGTGACTGCCTTGAGGGAGGCAGTCCCCCAACCCAAAGGCCCCGGAGGTGTGCGCGTGTACCCACACGCCTCCACAATGGAGTAGGGCGAAATAGGTCGCCCTAACCACAAAACGAGATGGGGCCTGCCCTACAACATCTACAGGGCGGGCCGTCGCCGTCGGAGCTGGGGTAGAATGCACTTGCGAATCCCCTGGCTCCGGCATAGGCGCTCGTAGGTACACCGTGTGGTTTTTTTTTTTTTTTTTTTAGTGCGGTACGAGTCCCACACACCACCTCGCCATCCCTCCGGCGGGGTGACGGTCTTTTGAAGATTTTTCCACACGTTAAAAAAAAAAAAAAAAAAAAAGGTCAATTAGGTTAGTTAGGTTATGAGTGTTTTAGTGTGATTTGTTTTTCTTTCGTGTTTTTCTTTTTTCTTTTCTTTCTTTTCCTTTTATTAATTAGTTAGGGTAAGTTTGTAAATATATAGTTAGGTTAGGTTAGTTAGGTTAGGGGCGTGAGTCGGGCAACCTCCAAGTATGGGCCTGCCATTGGGAGGCTTCCCCATCCTCGTGGATACGTCCGCGGGGAACGGTGGCCGAGCAATGGTTTGGTTCTGGTACGCCCTGGGCGGGATAGTAGACGTTCCTTCGGGATAC